TTTCAGTTTGAAACAGTTGCTCAGACTGTTCTCATCCTCATTGCAAAGTGTAAAGAATACAGGTGGTCTCTAGTGGGGCCACCAATCTGAACTAGACTTATGTTTCATCTCGACCAGACTCAAACCACATTTTCTTGGCAGAAATAGCAAAAAAATTTCCCTTCTTATTGCTTCATGTCAGTGGGCACATGATGTTGGCTAATCGTAATCATCTGAGCAAGTTGGTATCTGCCAGGCTTCTTCAGGTAAAGTCACTATTTCTCCCATTGCATATGATCAGTGTTTTGTGGAGAGATGTTCTGAAATTGTCCAAGTCCTCAAATCTGCATCCACCAAACCTTGTACTATCAACAATAGCCCATATAAAACACTGCCGAGGTGGTTGCCAAGTGGTGATTATTTTCATCATGTCTCTACACCTATTAGTTGGCATTATAGTTAAAGAGCTTTCCCTTCTGCCTTTTGTATTTATCACCTGATTTCTAAAAATTAATGAATTTATTGAGGTGACATTAGTTAATAAAATAACATAGGTTTTAAGTGCACTATTGTATAATACATCATCTGTATATTATATTTTTTTATACTTCAGATATTTTTTATTTCTTCAAATTTGTTGTTTATCAGGAGTGACTGAAATAAAAAATATAATTGAGTCTCATCATCACCATGGAGATGGCTTTAAGAGAAAACTGATCAGATGAATATTATTGCTTCCCATTTTCAACCAGTAATAGTTGCCACTGATAAAACAGACAACCAGCTCTGTCAAGAATGCTCACGATATGTTACATAATACAACATGCCTGTTCATGGGGGCTGGAAGAGGGAAGACTAGGAAATAATTTATGTGAACTTCTTGATTTCATCATACAAAACAAGCACAAAAGCACCACCCATGCCTCTGAGAACATTGGACCATGCACCCTTGAAAAAAGCTTTGTCTCCTTCATCACGAGCAATCTTCCTCCAGCAGTCGAGTGTCCGGCTGTGCCCACATCAGCTGCTAGACGGGTACGGGCAAAATCAAGAGGATACACAAAACACAAGGAGGTGGCCCCAGCAGCACCACCTGATGCCAGATTCCCTGCAAAGTATCGCCAAAACTGGGCTTTGTCCACACCACCCAGGAAGATCTGCTTGTATTTATCTTTGAAGGCAAAGTTGAGAGCCTGGGTAGGGAAGTATCTGATGACATTGGCCAGGTTACCACGCCAGAAGGACAGGACTCCCTGCTCCTTGGGGATACGAACCACGCAGTCTGTAATGCCCTTGTATTGCTTATCTGCAGTGATTTGCTTGCTGGCATGCTGCACCTGCAGCAGCAGCTTGACCCGCTCGATGGGTGCTACGGCTGTCTTGAAGATGGCTGCGGCCACTCCACCTGCCAGGAAGTCCTTGGCAAAGGACACAGCGGCATCTGTCATGTTGAAAAGAAGAAGCGGGCGACTGCTGGCTTGGGACGGTAACTGGCTGAACTCCGGGGCTCTAGGGCCCATCTGTATATTATATTGGGTGTTCAACATTCAAAGTCAAGTATCCTTCCATCACCATTTATCCCCCAATTAACCTCTTCGACCTCCCTCTACACCCCTTTCCCTCTGGTAGTCACCATACTGTGGTCATCTATGAGGTTTTTGTTGTTGTTGTTATTGTTTTGCTTTCCACCTTTTCACCCAGCCCTCAAATCCCCCTCCCCTCTGACAGCTGTCAGTTTTTTTTCTGTAACGATGAGTCTGTATTTTAATAATTTGGTTCATTGGATGCCTCATATAAATGAAATCATATAGTATTTCTCTTTCTCTGACTGGCTTCTTTCACCTAGCATAATACTCTCCATATCCATTCATGCTATTACAAAAGGCAAGATTTCCTTCTTTTTTATGGCTAAGCAATATTCCATTGTTTAAATGTACCACAGCTTTTTTATCCACTCATCTACTAATGGACCTTGGATTGCTTTCAAATATTGGCTATTGTAAATAACGCTTCACTGACCATAGGGGTGCATATATTCTTTTGAATCATTGTTTTGGGTTTGTTTGGATATATTCTCAGACAGAATTGCTGAGTCAGAAGGCAGTTCCATTTTTAATTTTTTGAGGAACCTCGATACTGTTTTCCACAAAGGCTGCATCAATCTGCATTTCTACCCATCCCATTTCTCCACATCCTTGCCAACACTTGTTTGTTAATTTATTGATGATAACCATTCTGGGGTGATATCTCATTGTGGTTTTATTTTGCATTTCTCTGATGATTAGTGAGTTGAGCATATTTTCATATGTATATTAGCCACGTGTATATTTTCTTTAGAGAAATGTTTATTCAGGTCTTTTGCTCATTTTAAAAGTGAATTGTTTTTTGTTTGCTTTTTTTTTGGTGTTGAGTTGTACAAGCTCTTTATAAATTTGGGTATTAACCCATTATCAGGTGTATCATTGGTGAATATGTTATCTCATTCAGTGGTCTATCTTTCCATTTTGTTGATGGTTTCTTTTGCTGTGCAAAAACTTTTTAGTTTGATGTAGTCCCAAGTATTTCAAAGTATTTCTTTGTTTCCTTTCCCAGAGAAGATATATCAGAAAAGAAAAATACTGCTATGAGAAATGTCTGAGATTTTATTACCTATTTTCTTATAGATTTTTATAGTTTTGAGTCTTAAATATATTTTGAGTTTGCTTTGTTGATGGTTTCTTTTGCTGTGCAAAAACTTTTTAGTTTGATGTAGTCCCAAGTATTTCAAAGTATTTCTTTGTTTCCTTTCCCAGAGAAGATATATCAGAAAAAAAAAATACTGCTATGAGAAATGTCTGAGATTTTATTACCTGTTTTCTTATAGATTTTTATAGTTTTGAATCTTAAATATATTTTGAGTTTGTTTTTGTGTATGGGTAAGAGGTGGTCTAGTTTCTTTCTTTCTTTTTTTTTTGCCATATCTGTCTAATTTTCCCCAATACTATTTACTGCCTAGACTGTCTTTACTCTATTGTATGTTCTTGCCTCCTTTGTCAAATATTGACCATTAAAAATTGATATTTTCTTGCTTCTCTATTCTTTTCTATTAATGTATATATCTGTTTTTATGCTATTTGGTTACTATGGCCTTGTAATATAGTTTGATATCAGGTAGCATGATTCCTCCAACTATGTTCTCTTTCTCAAGATTGCTGTAGTTATTCGGGGTCCATATAAATTTTTGAAATGTTTGTTCTAATTCTGTGAAATATGCCATAATAGGAATTGAGTTGGACCTGTAGATTTCTTTGGATATGCACATTTTAATGATGTTAATTCTTCCTATCTATGGACATAGCATATGCTCCCACTTATTTGTATCTTTTTCAATTTCTTTCTTCATTGTCTTATAGTTTTCCAAGTACAGGCTTTTATATCCTTGGTTAAATGTATTCGAGGTGGTTTTTTTATGCAATTTTAAATGGGATTTTTCCCCCTAGTTTTCCTTTCTAATACTTCATTATTGTGTATAAAAATGCAAATGATTTCTGAATAGTTATTTTGTATCCTGCTACTTTATTGAATTCATTTATCAGTTCTGGTATTTTTTTTTCATAGAATCTTTAGGGTTCTCTATATACAATAGCATATCATTTGCAAATAATAACTGTTTTAGTTCTTATTTTTTCAATTTGAATACCTTCCATTTTTTCTTCTTGTCTTATAGCTGTGGCTAAGATTTCCAGTAGTATGTTGTTTTGTTTCTGATCTTAAGAGAAATATTTTTAGTTTTTTCCCATTAAGTATGATGTTGGGTGTGTGTTATAATATGGCCTTTATTATATTGAACTGTGTTTCCTCTATTACCACTATGTTAAGAACATTTATCATAAATGGGTACTGGATTTTATTAAATGCTTTTTCTGCATCTATTGATATAATCATGTGATTTTTATCCTTCATTTTGTTTAGGTAGTATATCATATCACATTAATTGATTTGTGGCTGTTGTACCAACCTTATATCCCTGGAATAAATCCCACTTGATCATAGTGTATGCATTTTTAATGTATTGCTGGATCTGGTTTATTAGTTATAATCTGTCTATTCAGATTTTCTGATTATTTCAGATTCAGTTTTGGAAGATAGTATTTTTCTAGGAATTATCCATTTCATCCAATTTTCTGATTTGTTGGCATATAGTTGTTTGTAATATTTTCTTATGATCCTTTGTAATTCTTTGGTGCATATTGTTACCTCTCCTCTTTCATTTCTGATTTTATTTATTTGGGTCATTTCTTTTCTTTTTTTATGAGTCAAGTTAAAAGTTTGTCAATCTTGTTTATCTTTAAAAAAAAAACAGCTCTCATTTTATGGATCTTTTGTATTGGTATTATAGACTCTGTTTCATTTATTTCTGCTCTGATCTCTATTATTTCCTTACTTCTACTCTCTTTGGGTTTTGTTTGTCAGTTTTTTACGGTACCTTTAAGTATAAAGTTAGATTGTTTACTTGAGATTTTTCTTGTATCATGTGGTAGGCCTATAATGCTATGAATTTTCCTTTTAAGACTGCTTTTGCAGTCCTAAATAATGTCCCATTAATTTTGGGTTGTTGTTGTTTTCAATGTCATTTCTTTTAAGGTATCTTGATTTATTTTTTGATCTAATTGTTAAGCCATTCATTAAACATGTTATTTAATCTCCATATGTTTGTGTGTTTTTCATTTCTTTTTCTTTGTGATTGGTTACTAGTTTCATACCATTATGGTCAGAGAAGATGGTTGATATAATTTCAGTCTTCTGAAATATTTTGAGACTTGTTTGTGTCCTAACATGTGGTCTATCCTGAAAAATGTTCCATATGCACTTGAAACAAATGTATATTGTGCTGCTTTGGGGTGAAATGCTGTGAAATATCAATTAGATCTCATCTAGTGTGTCATCTAAGGCCGCTGTTTTCTTGTTCATTTTCTGTCTGGAAGTTCTATCCATTGATGTCAATGGTGTGTTAAAATTCTCTACCTTTACTATGTTAGTCAATCTATATTCATTAAGATTTGCTTTACATATTTAGGTTCTTCTATGCGACTCTGCTTCAAAGACTGGGTATATGAGCCAGAATTATACAATTGTCTCTCTTATTTTTAATCCTCACCTGAGAATATTTTCCCTTTGATTTTTAGAAAGAGTGGAAGAGAGAAGGAAAGACAGAGAGAAATACCAATGTGAGAAAAACACAGCAATTGGTTGCCTCCTGCACATGCCCCGACCAGGGCCCAGGACATGGAGGAGCCTACAACTGAGGTACATGCCCTAGACCAGAACTGAACCTGGGATGCTTCAGTCCACAGGCCAATGCTCTATCCATTGAGCCAAACCAGCTAGGTCTGGGACCTCACTTTTAGGTAACTGTCTATCTCGCTGCTTTGAAGATTCTTTGTCTTTAACTTTTGCCATTTTAATTATGATGTATTTTAGTATAGGTCTCTGGGTTCATCTTGTTTGGGCTTCTCTGAGCTTCCTGGACTTGTGTGACTTTTTCCTTCATCAAGTTAAGGAAGTTTTCAGTCACTATTTCTTCAAATAGGTTCTTGATCTCTTGCTCTCTCTCTTCTTCTTCTTCTTCTGGTACCCCTTTGATATGGATGTTGTTTCACTTCATGTTGTCCAAAGGTCCCTTAAAGTTATTTTTTCTTTTTAATACTCTGATTGATGTTTTTATCTGTTTCATCCAACTTACTCTATATTCCTTCTAGTATATTCTTTATTTCAGATATCATATTATTCATTTCTGCTTCTTTTTATAGTTTGTATGTCCTTTTCCATGCTGTTGAAGCTCTCACTAAATTCCTTGAGCATCCTTATAATTATGTTTGAGCTCTATATCTGGTAAATGACTTGCCTTCATTTATTTTAGCTTTCTCTTTATCAGGGGATTTCTCCTGTTCTTTCATTTGGGGCATTTTTTTAATCTCCTGATTTTGGCTGCCTTTTTTGGTTTTGTTTCTATATACTAGGTAGATCTGCTATGTCTCCCAATCTTGGTAGGGTGGCCTTATGTAGTAGGTGTCTTTTTGGACCCAATGGCATAGTCTTATTGATCACTTGAGCTGGGTGGTCCATGGATGTCCCTTGTGTGAGTTATGTAAGTCCTCCTGTTGTAATTAAATCATTATTGCTATTGGCACATTTGTGTTGGGGAGACCCTAAGGCTGGCTGGCTGTGATGATTGACCCTGACCATAGTGTACAAGCTGTTGTGCAGGTGCTGATCATACAAAGTTAAATACACCTTAGCAGGGTCTAGTGCCACCAAGATCTCCCTTGATATGCTGCTTGCTCTGATGTTGTCTGAAGTTGGCCACTTGATGTGTATTTCAGGGTTTCTTAAAAAAACTCTGATGCAGGTCCATGACAGATGCTGCCTGTATCTGGCCCTGAGCATCCTGTTTGGAGCAAAAAAGTGTTACACAGTGTGTGTTCCTGCTTCTCCTGGGCTGTGGTGTGCAT